CTGCACAGATTTCACCACGCTTTCTGCGAAGAGCCCCAAAACGCCAAGGGTGGAGCCCAAGCAGACCAGGAAGCAAAGCCACAGCACCGTGCGGCTACACCAAGGTAAATGCCCTGCCACCACCACCCCGGTGACTCACCACAGAATAAAAACCAGGGGACAGCTTTGCATCATGGAAATGACGGGGAAACTTCTGTTGGCTGCAGGATTAAGATGTCGACATGAACAAGCCCAAATCCTCTGGCTAAAGTAGAACTCACAGCTGCCTCTTTCCAACCGAACAGCGGGATTAGGGGCAGGCAGCATCCTGAGGACAGCCAGGGATGGAGGAGGCAAGGACAATGCAGACTCTTGGTGAAGGTGGTTGGTGAAGGGTGGATGTGCTGCTCTGCCCCACATGACGGGGCTGCCTCTCCAAGAGGAGCCCAAGAGGAGAAGGGTCCAATCCACTTCATCAATATCAGGTTCAGAATCATGGAATGGTTTGGGGTGGAAAGGGCCTGAAAGATCACCCAGTTCCAGCCCCCTGCCATGGGCAGGGACAACTTCCACTATCCCAGGTTGCTCCAAATCCTGTCCAACCTGGCCTTGGGCACTTCCAGGGATCCAGGGATAGCCACAGCTTCTCTGGGAAACTTCTGCCAGGGCCTCACCACCCTCACAGAGAAGAATTTCTTTCCAATATCCCACCTAACCCTGCCCTCTGGCAGTGGGAAGCTACTTCCTGTGTCCTGTCCCTCCATCCCTTGTCTAAAGTCCCTCTCCAGCTTTTTTGGAGCTCCTTCGAGTACTGGGAGGAGCTCTCAGGTCACTAAAGAGCTTCTCTTCTGCAGACTCTACAATCCCAACACTCTGAGCCTTTCAATATATTTAATAGTACACCAAGATAACAGTTCCCACACATCACAACCAAGTGAATATTGCACTAAAGTCACCCTTATTTTCTTTGTCACCTTCCTCCAACCCCATCCAGGCAGAGCTGCCATGAGATTTGGGAGTGCTTTCAGCAGAAACAAGTTGTAAACTTTAGTCTCACCTTACTCACATGTGGAATAACTTTCAAACCTGCTCAGTTCCACCCCCCCCAACCTAGTGGAAATGTTACCTGGGCACTTCTTCCTCCATCATCCACTCCAAATCTTGGAGTTATCCAAATATGAATTGCCAGGGCCCTGGCACTGCCAAAGCAGTGGAGTGTGGAAGAGCTGGATTCAACTGTACACAGAGCTGAGCACTGTCCATAAACTTTTTATTTTAACTCTGGGAGGGTATTTGCAAGCCTGGAACCCCAAATGAGGCATGGCCCAACATCCTTGGATGACAGGACAGCTATCCAGGATGGACAGATGGGCATTGGAGGCTGACAAGACTAAAGGATTTCCTGTAATGTTGATGCTGGGGAGGTCATAAAGCCTTTGCACTCTTGTGTCTGACAAAAACATTTCTTCAGTCCAAACCAGCCTTTACTTCTGTTCTCCATCCCAATTTTCCAGTCATGAAGGTGGATCAGTTCTCCAGCCTTGAGAGCTCCCAGGCTGGCACTAAACCTGGAACATTTACATGGAGAAGTGAAGGACTATTTTATTCTTATTTTTCTTATCTCAGACAATTCTTCCCTGCTGTTGAGTGTGCCCATATTCAGGAATCCTTTCTCCTTCTGCTAAGAAATCCCATCTCTTTTAGAATCATGGAAAAGTTTAGGGTTTAAGGGGCCTTCAAGGCCATTTAGTTCCAATCCCATGCCGTGGGCAGGGACACCTTCCACTATCCTAGGTTGTTCCAAGCCCTGTCCAACCTGGCCTGGAATATTTCCAAGGATGGGGGAGCCACAGCTTCTCTGGGCAATTTAATCTGGAGTTTCACCTCTCTCACAGGGAAGTATTTCTTCCCAAATTCCAATGTAAATCTTCTTTTAGTTTAAAACCATTTCCCCTTTGTCCTATCAGCATCTGCCACTCTCCCTCTTTATTAAATCTTCCCTTTTTATCTTTGTGCTCCTTCCATTCTCGACTCCCTGTGATCTTTTGGATGGGAATTCAAGTCCCTCAGCCACAGGTGGGGAAATGCACCCGGTGCTGCGAGTGGTGCATTGCACGATGTCCCTGCACTGTCCCTGCTGACACAGCCCCATCCATCAGGATCAGATATTCTGCCCAGGATCATTGTCCTGGTTTAGGGACAATCATCCAAGAATTCCCGCGTCTTTCATCTCCCAAACATTTCCAGGCGACGTCCTCGTTTACAGCTCGCACGACTGACTTACCGTGGTGGATGATCCTGTTTAATCCGTGACTTGTATCCAAGCCACCTGGTTGTTCAGGATATCCTGATCCTTCCCAGAACTGCTGAGGCTTCCCCAGCTTGTGCCACCAGTAAATCCCGTCCTATTTGGCATCTTTTAAGGTCTTAACGGGAAAAATTAAGCAAGAGCACCCCAAAAATGAAGAATGGTGCTGATGAATTTCCCCAGGCTCATATCTCACTCCCAACACTTTAAATATTTCCAGCTCCTCCACTGCCAAGATTTAAAAAATTCTCACCCATTTTATATCAATTTAATTTCTATCCATGCCATCTTAATAAATATTTCCATGTTACTCTGTGTTATTACTTTGCTAAACTCATGATAATCTGACTTTAACATGAAAACAGCAAATACAACATTGGATTTTAAGTATTTTCCTGGGTTTTTTATTATTTTCCTTCCTTTAAACCTTGTTTTTCACTCCTGCCTTTCTATTGAGGCCAGACAGAGGTTGTTACCCCTCCTCTTTTTAATTTAGGTGCTGATTTCTGACCTCATGATTCTTCCTTGACCAATTTATAAATATTTGGGAGTGGATCTGGACCTGTTGATCTGTATTTCAGTTCTCCAAAAGTTCTGGGATGGAAAACATCCTGTCCTGCTTTGTCCTAGCTTGAATACATTGAACTTTTTTGTTCCACCTCAGCTGTGGTTGTTTCTTTTTCTGGACATCTTTTTCTATGCCGTCTTTACCCCCAAAATCAAAAGCATTTTATATATTGAATAAACAAGTGGTTAATTTCATATTCAGTTTTCATCTATCACTACTTTCTTTTGCCTCTCAATTTAAAGGCTAAATAATTTTACATATTAATTAAATAACTTTAAATAATCCACTTTAAATAAGTGAATAAGTAACATTCAATGTCGTTTTTGAAATCTAAGTAATTTTGACTATTGCAAGTTTTTACTTTATACATTTCTTAACCTGCCCCATGTTGTTTTGTCTGCTGCTCCATTTTTCATCCATTCCTTTAGGCTTCCCTCTCATTCCTGGAATAATCTTTGAAATTATTCACCCATGTCAGGCCACAGTTACTCTTATAGAATTTTTTTCTCCACTTTTCTTCATTTTTATAGAAAAAAAAAAAAAAAAGAGGTTTCTGAATCTTTGATTTTAGTGAACCACAAGTTTCACACTTTGCATCCATGTCCTTGAACTTCCAGTACACTTTGCCTTTTTCTGGATATCAACCATAGATATTTATCTATATATCAACCCTATATCAACATTCTTCTGCTTATCTAAAACCAAATCATCCCAAAACCCAGCTGGATGAGGGGACAATATTATTCCAAGTGTGTTACACTCCTGATCCCAGAAATCAGGGTGTGCCACCTCAAAAACATCCCAGCAGGGAGGGAAGGGATGGGCGAGGAAGGAGAGACACGATTGGTCTGTGGTGTAGGAGGGTAAAAGGAGCTGAAGTCATATTAAATCAAAATTAATTGGCAAAGCCAAACTGCTCTGGAGTTATGTAGGATATTGAGAAGTAGGACAACAAATGGAGAGAGCGTTGGATGTGGTCACTGAAGCTGGACACGTGGATGGATGAGGAAGAAGGTTGGTTCTGCTGGGATCGATTGGAAAAATTCAAGGAAAGTCCAGAGTTGGAAGTGACCTGCAAGGATCACCGAGTCCATCTCCTGGCCCTCCACAGGACACTCCAAGGATCCCAGTGTGTGCCTGAGAGTTGTTCTGCCAGGGAAAGGCAGACCCGAGACTCCTCTGTGTCCTGAGCTGTGTCCCCGCAGTTGTGGGCAGTAGGTGAGGGTGGGATTCTGCCCACTCTGGTGAGATCCTGCTCGGAGCACTGCATCCAAGGGAAGCTCTGGAGTCCAACTGCAGAAGGATGTGGAGATGCTGGAGCAAGTCCAGAGGAGGCCACAGAGATGCTGGATCCAAGGATCATTCCATGCTTGGATCATTCCACGCTCCAAGGGCTGAAGCCCCTCTGCTCTGGAGCCAGGACGGGAATGCTGGGCTCCAGGGAGAGCTCAGAGCCCCTTCCAGTGCCTGAAGGGGCTCCTGGCGAGTTGGAGAGTGACTTTGGAAAAGGGAATGGAGTGACAGGACACAGGGAATAGCTTCCCACTGCCAGGAGGCAAGGTTAGATGGGATATTGGGAAGAAATTCTTCCTCGCGAGGGTGCTGAGGCCCTGGAATGGAATTCCCAAAGATGCGGCTACCCCTGGATCCCTGGAAGTGTCCAAGGCCAGGCTGGATAGGGCTCGGAGCAACATGGGATAGTGAAAGGTATCCCCGCCCATGGCAGGGGTTGGAACAAGAAGGTTTTTAAGGTCCCTTCTAACATAAGCCACTCCATGACAAAACACACGCATTTACTAAGAAGAGGCCTCCAGGTGACCTCTCCTCCACCCTTGCAGGCTTCCTTCTAAAGCTGGTGAAGGGAAGCAGGTAATCCCCAGTGCAATGCACTTTTTGATGAAGCTTTTGTCTGATGAGATTTGGAGCTGTCTGCCCAACTGGAAAAAGAAACAGCTCCGATGAGTCACCCAGGAGCCTCCTACGGTAGAGAAGAAAGGCTGTACTTAGGCCAGGTGGCTCCCACTCAGGATTTTTTGTCCTGCTTCAATCTGTCTGTGACTCTGCAAATTTTCAAAGGTTATTTCTGCTGCATTTTCTGCTAATTGGTGCTCCCACCAACTTGATGCCTTGACCATATAGACCCCGATGGCGGGAACTGGCTTGATTGTCACGCTATTCCCATTACTGTGCTGGATCCCCATGGCAACACCCAGCACAGGATAATTTTATTACTTAGCAGGGGTTACTTATTTAGATTGACTCACCCAGGTCTGTATCTGGTGACAGACATTGCTGCCAACCTGCCAGTCAAAGGCACTGCTGATGATGCTGAGGGCTGACAAAGTGATGTCAGGCACTTCTCAGTCACAGACTCGGGGACGGTCGCTGGGTTTGACAAGTGACAAGTTCACAGCGAGGACTCTGTTTCCTTTCTGTGCACAACCAAAGTTGATAAAGAGGGAAAATCTTCCTGATAAAGGGAAGGAAGTAGCTCTGTAACTGGGCAGTCTTTGCACATTGCCCTTGTACTGCAGAAGTTTGATAAGAGATCGACAGTCCCATCAGCTGATTAAAGTGTGGAGAAAGATTTTGGAGACTCCCAGCCAACAGCAGCTCCCAGGAATATTCCCAGCATCCTTCAGCCTTGGCTTTTTTAGTGTTCAAGCATCAGAAAAGGGAAATGATGGAGTCATCATGCCTGGAAGTGTTCAAAAAACCACGCGATCTGGCAGTTGAGGACTTGGCTTAATGGTGAACATGGTGGTGGCTTTTCCAAACTTTAACAATCCCATTATTCCAAATCATCCAAATTTCATGTGGAAAATCACATGGCCAAAGGCTCCCTACATGTGGATTTATGGGTCACTTGGACTTTCACGTAAGGTTGGCAGCAGCTGTCTCTGGGATGGAAAAGGGAATCACACCGGAATGAGGGACACATGAGGTTTGCACCTGAGGACACATCCAGGTTGTGACATTGCTGGTCTTTAAAAGGGATCAGGATCCATTCTCTGATCACAACTGTCACAGCTCATGCCTGAATTTCTCATCCTTCCCACCAGAATGACCTTTCTGGAAACATCCTTGGCCCTCAGAGTGTGCCTGGGCATTCTCTGGAGCAAATCCAGTGGGTTCAGGACATAACACACTCAGGGACCACTTTACACTAGCTAGACATCTCTCAAGTCCACGGTAGGACAGCTTAAAGAAAGCCTGAAATGCCTGAATTGTGGATATTCATCCCTCTGGGATCCAATCCAGAATCACATCTTGGATATTTCTGCTGTTTTCTGAAAATGCTTGAGGGACCTACATTCCCAGGGTGGACCAAACACAGGTGATGCCTGAAGGAATAGTCCTCAGTCCTCTGGGTGGAAGAAGAGGAACTTGACCAACCTGGTCTAGTGGAACATGTCCCTACCCATGGCTGGGAGGTTGGATGAGATGAGATTTAGGGTCCCTTCCAACCCAAACCATTCCATGATTCAATGATTCCAACCTTCACATGACCATATCCCTGGACTCCTTTTTTTTTTTTCTCTCAAAGCCCCGAACACTAATCTTTTTGTACAAATCCAGCAAGTCTGGAATCTTTCTTCCCATCCTTTTTAGCCTCTGGATTAGTGAGCTTAAGCCAGAATTTGGCAGATGTGAGTACTGTTCCCTTCTCTGCTTGGAGAGGTTCAACTTCTCACCTCACATCTTCAGACAGGGGGAGGCAAAGCAGCAAAGTGAAACCCAGACACAGAAAATAAGATGTAGGAGCTCTCTAGAGACTGAACCAAAGCTGTGAATCTGGATTTTTTTTGGATACTCCCCATGGAGGAGAAACATTAAAACCAAAGAGCCCCTGGAAGATAGACCTAAAGAGCTCCTTGGAGAAGGGTGCTCACATTTTCACCCTTTTCCAGCCCAACGAAACCTGAATTCCTTCTTGCTTGGTGGCAGAGTTTCATCAGGAGGGTGGAGACCAACTCCACCCCAACAAGCCCAAAGCCTTGTTTGTTGACACACACCCATGAGAGGTGGAACTTACATTGGGTCGTCAAATATCGCTGCAGCCACGGGCACAGGCAGAGAGGTTCCCTGCTACTGAGTCACACGTGAAGATGGTGGAGCATCCAAAAAGTCCCCTGGCAAAAATTCTACCCCTCTGGAATCACAGGAGCTGAGCTCCAGGTGACTCAGTGTAATGATCAACAGTATCTGTGTTTTCCTGCAAACCAGTTGTCACCAGGATGCTCGGGAATCTGAAAAATGGAAAATGGAGCAGACTCCTGCAAATCAGCTCTCAGGAAAGACGTTGGTGTCATGTAGATTGATGCCATGGTTACCATGACATGATCACAGTGTCAGATTGGCTTGGTTGGTGTTTGTAACATGGCAGATGGATCCATTCTGTTTATTCCTGGAATTGCAGAGGAGAAGGCTCTGGGTTGACCTTATTGTGAGCTCTCAGTAGCTGAAGTGGGGCTCCAGGAGAGCTGGAGAGGGATTTTGGACAAGGGCGTGGAGTTTCAGGATGAGGGAGAATGGCTTCAAACTGAGAGAGAGTGGGTTTTATGGGATATTGGGAAGAAATTCTTCCCTGGGAGGACAGCATAGGTTGCCCAGAGAAGCTGTGGCTGCCCCAGCCCTGGCAGCATCCAAGACCAGATTGGAGAGGGCTTGGAGCAAACTGAGATAGTGGAAGGTGTCCCTGACCACTGCAGGGGATTGAAACAGGGTGATCTTGAAGGTCACTTCCAACCCAAAACATGTGGGATTCAATGGAATGGCTCAAGAAAATGTCTATATCTGTGCTGAACAATGTAGGAGAGAAGGTGGTGAAACAGAGGGAGTTCAGAGAAGGACAATCAGAAGGATTAAAGCCTTGGAGAACAGACTTTCCAGAGAAGGAGTCAGAGAGCCCAACAAAGTCTATCCAAATGATATCCCAGAAAAAATACCTTTCTATGGAGAAGGGGAAAATTGCAGCAGTGAGAAATTAAATTTAGCAGAGAGGTGCAACAAGAGCCACCGGCTGTAGGGACTCCATAAATCAGAGTAGAAATATTTTACACAGGACTAATTTCACATGTGGCTGATAATCAACAACTGGAACAGCTGAGCAAAGCTTGGTGTTCACTCCCTGCCACAGAACAGCTCATAAAAACGTGTGGCTTTATCATTCAAACATGAATTTACTGTAAGGGAAGTCAGAGCAGGTGAAGCACTTCACCTTCTTACCTGTAAACACTGAATTTCTGCCATCCGCCTTTCCTGGTATTTGTGATAAGCAGAGAGATATTATATCTTCCTGCCTCACATTATAAATTAGAACAATCTCCCAGGGACAGGCTGGGAGAAGGTTTGGATTGATCCCACTGAGAATTCCTGAAGGCTTTTGGCACACAAACTTTTCTCCCTTACACACCATGCCTCGTTGATATTCTCAGCTCTCCAGACCCAAAGTGACATTTCAACTAAAGTCCCTTCTGCCTCCTGTCAGTCAGTGCTCAAAATCTTTCCCAGGGCTTATTCCACCCCTGACAGAGACAGAAGGGAATTTTTAGGGCCTCCTGAGTCCTACAAGCTGTCTAAGCCTTGCCTAACTGCTCTGTCAAACCACAGCTTCCACATATTTATCAGGTTTAAAGCAGGTCAGGTTTCTCCCCTACCTTTGCTTACAGAAATAATCCAAATTTTTTTAGTGTTTAAGATCCAACCTCAATTTACAGTCTCATTTAACTTAGGTTTGTCTTAACTCTGCCAAGATAAAAGATAAATGTTTTCCAGCATCATCTTTTGCTGTGAATCTTGTCCCATTCTCCTCATTATTGTTGTGGTTTTTTTCCATTAGGATCCCATTTTGTTCATGACAATGGCAGTGGAATTTCACCTGGGAAGCCAGGAGGGTGTTTCCACTTCCAAAATCAGCCTGCCTTCCACCCCAGCACACACCTGGACATTACCTGTGGTTGTTTGTGTTGGGTTTGGGGTTTATTTCCAGGGCTCCATCTCTCTGTAGGCTCCTGACTATCTTTAGATCAAGAAATACCTTGAAGGTAACAGACCTTAAAGGTCTTTCCTTGCCTCCACAATTTTACTGGAACACTCCCAAGTTTTCTGGCACTGCTGCACACTCAGCCCCTCTGCAGGAGCTCTGGTGTTTTGCCAGTGCTCTGCCTTATGGAAAGATCTCCAACCTTTCCGACCCTTTAAGACAGAGTTAAGACAGTGGTTAAGTATTTCTATCCCTATTCCTTCAGCCAAACAGATTTATCCCAGAAATTTCCCGGTATGGAATGCCTTTCAGGTACTAAATGTCTCCATGGACATTTCCACTGCACAAAGCAGCTTTACTGTGCCAACCCCACTGTGCTTTCCCATTTGAGGCACAACCCTCTGGAATGCTGAAAGCACTGGATCTTTTCCAGTTTCACAGCTGTTAATTAGGATATTGCTCAAATGTGCCTTGAGCTGCCCAGTTCCGAGCAAGGATCTGGATGTCACCAGGTCTGGTGGCTTTCACCCAGTGGATTTTTTCCTGTCTGCCCAGAAAGTTATGTTTTATCCAGGATCTTTTAGTCCCTGAACTCGGAGAGCGCAGGAAGATAAAATAAAGGAACATTTTCACTCTCGTAGAGAAGGATTAGGGTGTAGGTCTTTCTCTCCCTTTCCCACAGCTCTGTCAGCTTTGTGTCATCCGTGGCTGTGGAAATTTTCATTAGCAATGCTTCTCAGGTTACTGGGAGCCATCCTCCATCTGGGAAGGAGGAGAGGCTGCCGGGACTGGCAGCAATATTCCCACATGTGTTGTCGTAACAAGTCTGTGACAGTCAAAGCACCTCATTAAAGCACCTTCACTCACCCCATCTCCATCCCTAAAATCTCCAAGTGCTACAGTGATTCACAAACTTTTCCACTTTGGCTTATTCAGCTGTTTTATGGGATATTGCACAACACTGGGGTTTTCCAATTTGGATCACAACAAACCCAACCAAAATTCTATCAGCTTTTCCTGTGAAATGTAAAATACCAGCAGCTCAATCCAAATGGAGAAGTAAATAATTTCTCCCCAGCTCCAAGCATTTGAAGCTAAGGGATAAGATGCAAAATAAATTATGACGTTTGAAAGGATTGCCTTGATGTGGATAAAGTGTAATTTGCTATCAGGAAGGTGCTGGAGTGGGAAAATTTATTAATTGCTCCATGTTGGGTTTATTTCCCAGCTTCAGGATAAAATTTGGTAAATAATTGACAGCTTTCCAAAGGAAGGATGAGCTTTCTGCTTTTCCAGCATGACCCAGGACCTGAGACCATGTGATTTATCCCAATTCCAGACCTGGAACACCATATCCCACTGCCCTCCAAGTCATTCCCGCACCCAGCAGCTCAGTTAATTATCAAGGGATCTAGAAACCAGGCTTGGTTTTGAACTGGATCTGGGAAAACAGATGTCTTTGGGCAACCCCAGCCCTGCCAGCCCATGGAATCGTTTCTCCAAAGCACGTGGAAGCTCAGCCTGCTGCCACTTGCCCTTTGACAGTTGTTGGCCAGTGCAACACGTGTGACACAAGCCAGCCCTGGGCTCGTGGAGCCAGACTGGAAGGAGCAAACAAACCTCATCACATTTCCCATCCAAGCCCTGGCATGGGGCCACACCTTGCAGTGCCAGCCGTGTTTTTCCTTTTCCATGGGACCAGCCCCAGGACATAAACCTAGGGAAGAGCCAAGGCATGGCAGGAGTCTGCTCGTTGCGGTGATGTCACCTCATCAGAGAACTCGTTCCTCTGCAAATCCCAATCCAGACTGGAGCTGGGCTCTCCCCTGATCACCCCAAGGGAATCCGCCCACAGCATCAACAGCAGGTGGTGGAGGGTGGGAAAATATATAAAGCTCCCTGGGAGCAGCTCTCTGGACCTGTCCTGGCTGCCTGGATCTGCTCTCAGCATGAAGAAAATCCTGGTGGGATTCCTGCTGGGCCTGGCATTCGTGGAGTTGGGTAAGAGCTCCTCATTCCCAAAACTCTAAGGTCTCCTCACCCGGGGGAGGGGAGGGAGGGGAAAGACCTGGTAACCCCCAGGTAGGGGAAAAGATGCTTTTTGTGTAGAAGAAGGTCAAAGGAGAGGGTGAAATGGGAAAGGGGAAATGCATTCCTGGTGGGAATAGCTGTGATGCCTGACAGGGAACGATGCACGTCCTCTGGATATTTTATATGTACCTGTCACCCATGGCCAGGGATGGAGGGGACAACCACAAGGCATAGGGCAGGACCAGCCTGGGCAAGAGCTCTACCTGAGCTGCCACCCTGTCCCTTCAGGAATGGGGTGGGATATGTCCACCCCGAGCTCCTGACATCCTTAAAACCTCCCAGCTGTCTGCTGGAGGTGCTAAAAGCCAGAAGGTGAAACTTCAATATAAATAAGGGTGGGGAGGTATGAGAAATACCTCCAAGGACATTGGAAAGTTTTATTAAACCCCCAGCTCCAAGATTTTTCCTTGTTTCAGGCAGAAATGGGAAATTCCCCTGGGTCTGTGATGGGTCTGGATCTTGGGCAAGCTGGCAGCAGGGTTTGGCCATCGCTGTGTCCTTCCTCTGTGGAGATGTGACCAACTGCAGCTACATCCCTGCCTGGAACAGGCATTCCAGGGATGACACCAGCCCACAGGGGTTTAACCTACAGCCCTATGGGCCCCAGAGATCCTCAGGCTGTTTCCATGGGACCCTGGAAGATCCCATAGGAAAAGCAGCCTGGGCAGGGATCAAACCTCTCCACCTGAAGCCCTGTCTTGGATTTAACGGAATTTCTGAGAAACCACCCAAGGTCTCAGAGAATTTGAACAGGGTAATCAACCCCTTGCTTTATAGTTGAAATCAGGCAGAAATATTTTTTGGGGGGTTGATCCAGAGGAAGCAGCTGGTCTAGGCACCCCTGTTGTGGCTGAGGGATGTGTCTGTGACTGTTCATATTCCTGAGGCTTGGTATCAAGGAATAGAAGGTCCTGTTGGACAGTGAGGAGCAGGGAATTATTGGCTCAGATCAGGACACAGAGCTGTCCCTGCTCTCCTGTCCCACTCCTTATGGATTGGGGCTTTCCTCTTCCATGCAGCCTTCCCACAAAACCCAGCCAGAGTCACTGAAAGATGAGGGGGTTGAGGTTTTCCTTCCTTAAACCTGTTTTTGACCAGGATTAATTCCCCCAAGGCACTTCCCAGCTCATCCATGAAATTGTCGAGGTTTGTAAATGGAAACCTTCTCACCCCAAGGGTTGCAGGGTAGTTTCTCAAGTGCCTGGAGCCAGAGCTGCTCCATCCATCCATCCATCCATCCTGCACATCCACAGGCATCCAAATGATTGCTGATAATGTGTTACCTCTGTTAAAATATACAACCTCTCATGGATCATTGGGAAGGGATCTAGTGAGGTCCTGAGCTGGGATAAACAGGGATGGCTCCACCACCCCTGCTTACAGGGCGTTTGGCCACAACATCACTGAAATACTCCCATGAAAAAAATCCTTTTTATTAGGGCAAAGAGACAAAAAGAAGTTTTGTACTGTGTGGCCTCTACCCCACAGCTGAATTTTCCAAAGGAGCTGCCGCGAGGAGTAGATGCCTTAAAATTCCTTCTGAAGTCAGGTGCTCAAACAAATGCCTTCAAAAATACTTATCCTTATCACAAAGCCCCAGAGGTTCCTCTGACAGCAGAATGGGAACAAAAAAACAGCGACGGTGTGAATTTTTACCAATAGATGGCACTGGACGCTTTCAGGTTCTTTCCAGCAGGTGGAAGGAGGGTAGGATAGGAAATCTCAAACCAGGCTGGATTTTGTCATCAAGCCACAGCAGCAGGACTTTGGAAAATCCACACTCTCAGTGTCTGCTGGCTGTGGATGGGCAGCAGTGAGGTTTTTGAGAGCTGCTGTGACCAAGATTTGCATATTTAGCGATGTCCCTCCCTCAGGTGGCAGGGTTCGTGCATCATCTCTTTTCAAAGCAGCAGTAGCCCCTGATGAGAGTGGTTTTGAGGCCACACTCAGCCCTCAGGAGCTCTGGTACAGCTCTGAAATTTAAATCCTGCTCTCAGTTACTGATTCCTGTAGAATTCCCCTTAAACAAGCAGCAAGGAGCTGTTGCTGTGAGGGGAGGGATGGGGGAACTGCTGGGGAATGCTGCTGACAGCAGGAGGAGCTGGTTTTTACAATCATGGAACAGCCTCATTTGGAAGGGACCCACAAGGATTATCAAAGCCTAACTCCTTGCCCTGAACAGGACATCCCAACAATCCTACCCCGTGCCTGAGAGCATTGTCCAAACACTTCCTGAACTCCTCATGCTGTGACCATTCCCTGGGGAGCCTGTTCCACTGCCTGAGCACTCTCTGGGGGAAGAAAGAACCTTTCCCTGATATCCAACCTAAACCTCCCTGACACAGTTTCAGGCCATTCCCTTGGATTCTGTCACTGTTCCAGGAGAAGAGATCAATGCTGCTCCTCCACTTCCCCTCATGAGGAAGTTGTAGATGCCAAAAAGCCTCCCCTCAGCCTCCTCTTCTCCAGGCTGAATTCTTACAGAGGATGCTCAGACCTACCAAAGCTCCTCAAGGAACAAGAGGAGTTTGTTCCCTCTTGTTCTAAATCCCTCTTTTTTGGGCTGCTGAGCCTCCAAATGAGTCTCATGCCCAGCTCCTGCACCACCCTTGTCCTCCAGTGCTGGGATTTGGTCTTCTGCCCCCTGGCATATCCAAACTTTGCCATTGCCTCCAGACATGCTTAATGCAGACACTGTTGCATGTTTTGGTCAAAAAAGCTGCAGATTTAGGTCCATCTTCACTGCTGTGTCACCTCAGAGCCCTTCTGTCCCCTCTGCAGCCCAGTCCCTGCGATGTTACACGTGCAAGGAGCCCACTGACATTTCCAAATGCAAGACGGCCGTCACGTGCTCCCCGAAAGCCACCGTGTGCACCACGACGCTGCACTCCGTGGAGATAGGTGAGTCCCACCACTCCCCCTGAGGGAAATCTGGGAATTCCAGGATGGGTTGGGAGGGAGCTTCAAGATCATCGTACTCCAAACCTTCACATTCCAGTAGACCAAGTTGCTCCAAACCCTGTCCAACCTGGTCTTGGACATTTCCAGGGATCCAGGGGCAGCCACAGCTTCCCTGGGCAACCGGTGCCAGGGCCTCAGCACCCTCACAGGGAAGAATTCCTTCCCAAAATCCCATCTAACCCCATCCTCTGGCAGTGGAAAGCAATTCCCTGTGTCTTGTCTCTCCATCCCTTGTCCCAAGTCCCTCTCCAGCTCTCCTGGAGCCCCTTCAGGCACTGGAAGGGGCTCTGAGGTCTCCCTGGAGCCTTCCCTTCCCCAGATTAACACCCCCAGCTCTCCCAGCCTGGCTGCAGAGCAGAGGGGCTCCAGCACTTGGAGCATCTCCGTGGCCTCCTCTGGACCTCTTCCAACAATTCCCCGTCTGTGTCATGTCAGGACCTCAGAGCTGGAGGCAGCTCTTCAGGTGGGGTCACACTAGAACAGAGGGGGAGAATCACCTCCCTCAATCCGCTGGCCACGCTTCCCTCTCCCAATCCCAGGCCAAGCTTGGATTATCCTTTAATGGCTCTATAAAAACCCAGATGAAATTATCCCACTTCAAAGAGGGAAGAAGAGAAACCCATCAGACTGGGAGCCTCACGGTGAAGTATCAGGACACACTGCGCTTGTTCCCTCTGTGTTGCCTTTCCTACCCCAATATCTCTGTGGACCCTGAATTTATCGATGGTGCAAACATCTACAGGGAATTGTGTCCCTTGTCCATGCTGGGATGATTTTGGAAGGAGCAGGAGGGTGATAGAGAGTTAGCAGAGAGAACTGGCAGACCCATTCCCACAAAAAACAGGCTGGATTAGAGGCACCCATGGATTAGGGATGTCCAACACCTCCTCTGTCAGTGTTTTTCAATCCCATTTTCCTTCACTATTTTTTCCCCCCTCTCTCACCTCCTCCTCCTCCTCTCTAATCCACCTCTCCCAGGTTATCCCTTTTTTGGCAACATCACCGTGACCAGAGCCTGTGAGGAGGAATGCCTCCCCGACAATGGGATAGGGTCTTCCAGGCCCAAATCCTGCTGCTACACCGACCTGTGCACGGATGACACCAAGAGCAGCAGCGGGGTGAGGAGCAGCTCCACAGCGCTGGCTCTGGTGGCCGTGGTGGCTGGCATGGTCCTCCAGTGCTCCCTGTGAGGTCACAAGAGTCCCAGCTCCAGCCGAAAGCCCACCACTCTCCCTGCCAAGCTGCCTCATGAACTCTTAGACGCTTTGGGAATGTCCTTCTTCGCTGACGTGCAGCTTCACCCCGTCTTCAACGCTGGATTCAAGCCAAGAGTTTGGACACCTGGACTTAAACCCCCACAAATCTCCAGTTTCCAGCTGTTTAAGCAGATGTTCCTCACCTTCAGCTGCTTCTGGTTGTCAGGACCCACAGAGAATGGGTTGGGCTGGAAGGAACCTTCAAGATCATCCAGTTCCCACCCCCTGCCATGGGCTGGGACACCTTCCACTATCCCAGGTTGCTCCAAGCCCCATCCAACCTGGCCTGGAACAATCCCAGGGATGGGGCAGCCACAGCTTCAGCTTCTCTGGGCAACCTGTGCCATGTCCTGATTGAGAGGAGCAGATGGATTTGGGCCCAGTTACTTCCTGCCCATCAGGGTGTGGGTGGCAACTGCAGAGAGCCGGCGTTTAACTCCAAGAATAAGCTAAGGAATGAGTTCAGAAGGGCTCAGCTTCCATGTGGGAATGGGATGGATTTCTGGAAAGCTCAGAACACTCCCTGGACTGACAGACATGGGTAGGTCAGAACTGAAATGCAAATTTCCAAGTTTGGCCAGACAAACACGTGCCCCCCACCCCCCCTCAGCTTCTGCCTAAGCTCAGGTTGCTGTTGGAGCTCCCAGACTTCCTTTTCCAGATGTTTTAAAGACTATTCCAAGCAAATTCTTCTCTTATTCTGCCCTGGATATGAAAAATAATTGTTATCCCAGACCCTCAGCTCTGGGAAAAAATCATTTAAAATTGCTGGGATGCCATCTGGGATTTGCTTGCAGCAGATGTGGGATTGATTCTGATGCCCTGTCTGCTGTAAAAGCAGCTGGAGTGGAAGCAGATATGAATGAGCCAGGTGTGCCCAGCTCACAGAGATCCAGGAAATTTGCCATCCCCTCTGTTCCTATTGCCAGAGATCATCCAGATGATCGGGAAGCAAGGATCAAGTGGAGCATGGATACACCCCGTGCACCATCCCTGTGTGTTCCCGGCATCCCTCCGACCTCCTCTGTGGCAAAGTCTATTTTTCCTCGATTAATTTTTTTTTTCTTTTTTCCATTCTGTTTCCACAAGAAGCCAAAGAATGAGGCTCTTTTTCCTCCCTGCACAGGGGGAATTGTTTCTCAAGGTCTGTCTCAGTACCATTTAGAAGAAAAACTCTGACAATTTTGCATTCCTTGGCAGAGGTCCCTGTGAGCTCAGGAGGATTATGAGCCCTTTTTCCTGGAGGTGAAACCCTCAGAGCTCCACTAAAACACTGACAACTTCCCTGAGAACCCCCTGGCGATGCTGAGATCTGCAGGGAGCAAATGCCATGGAGAGGATAATAATTGGAAGTTACTCAGATCCCAGTGTTCCACCCTCCCTCGCAGACACTGAGCACCAGCCCCTGCTTCCCACTCGTCTGTTCAGCTTTTCCCTGCTTCAAAACCAGTCAGATGTGTCAGGCCAGGAGCAAAGCTCCATCTCAGCCATCCTCAGATGACATTCCTTTTTTTTTTTTTATCCCAGCTTCCAGCTCTGTCTCCAGCAGCCTTTCCACATTTTCTGCAGAGTCCTGGGCTCTGCCTTCCACGTGTGGATGGGGCAGGGTCTGGACACAGAGGGACTGGGAGGGTGAGGGCTCCCTTCTGGGTGAGAATTTCGTAAATAAAGTTGGATTCTCTGTTTTTCAGCCTGCAGCATCTTTCTTTTCTGCTCGATATTCCCCTGGGAAAGGAGCGTGGGGCAGCACAGGGTGCAGGGAGGGGGTTTCTGTCTTGTTTTTTGGCTCCCAAACTACCAGGCAAGGGGGAAAACCACACACAGGAATGAGCAAGGCAGTGCAAAAGTCCTCCTTGGAAGAGCCAGATTTAAGGCTATCCCTGCTGGAAAATGAGGGGGAGAAGGGTAAAATCCCACTATGGACAGGAGGCTCTTTTGGGATATGCACTGGGAGAACTGGGGGGGTTCCAGGGATCAAAAGAGAAAACACCTGAGCTCAGCCTCGAGGCCAGCAGGAGACTGGGAGTGACCATGACCATGCTGTGCTGCAAAGATGCTCCATGAGGGAGGGGACTGTCCCCTGGTGTCACCAGCGCTGGCTGTGAGCATCCTGGCCCTCCCAGCCTCCTGTCACCCAGCACTTACCTGCCAACGTGACCCACGAGTTCCTACTGGAGCCAAAACAGACTCCAAAGCAGATTTTTTATCTTCAGAGCACCTCTAATACATTTCTTGATTAGGAGAGGTGACAAACCCTTCACACAGGGGAAAAAAACGGCCTTTTGTGCATTACAATTCACCTGCTCACACTGTGGCAGCCACAAGGCTGAACAGGGAGCACTTAAAAAAAATTAAATTTGCTGTTTCTTTGGTTATTGCTGTTATTTATCCCTCCCTTTGCTCCTCGGGAGTTAAACCCAGTGAGCGCCACTGCCCCAGGAAATACAGGAGATTCAAAGGCCTGGCTGGAATTTTGCGTCACTGGGTCGAGTGGACGCGGCGAGGGAGAAGTTTAAATATAGGCTGGAGAAAATAGAACAGAGGAAAATGTGTCTCCAAAGGGCCAGAAAAAGACCTGCAACCTCTCGGCCCTGCCGGGTGAGGCTTCACAGCCGGCGGAATCCATCGCTGATGTTGCTCTGCTGAAGGATTTTTTTTGTGTCTGTCCAAGGGCTTGATCCTCCCAGTACATGCAGAGATTTTATCTCCGGATTTGAGGGCGTTCCTCAGTGTTTTATGCTTTATCTGGCCAAAAAAATTTACCTTTTCCATCACCTTCCAGCCCTTCTGAAAGTGTGGGGCAGCACTTGGGAGATGCAGAATCATGGGAAGGGAAGGGAAGGGAAGGGAAGGGAAGGGAAGGGAAGGGAAGGGAAGTTTCAAAACCATCAAATTCCAACACCTTCCACTATCTCAGGTTTATCCAAGCCCTGTCCAACCTGGTCTCGGACACTACCAGGGATGGGACAGCCAAAACTTCTCTGGGCAGCCTGCACCAAGGCCTCACCACCCTCCCAGGGAGGGTTTTTTTTCCTGATCTGCATCTCCTGCTTCCAGTTACAAACCTGAAGTGCTTTATTCCACCCAGAAATCAGAGAGTAAAGAATGAGAGAGGCTCATCTGTGAGGATATTCCAGCTGGGATACCCTGTTGAGTCCCACCTCCAACCAAAAATCAGGGCTATATATATGAGCCTTGAGTAGCCTTTACTTGCAAACTCCAGAATTCCAGAAGGTGGAGTGGGCATTCTAAAAGATAATTCCTCCTCTGGAAAGACACAACACTCAGCTTGGATTTGAACTGAAAGAGGACCCAGGTTCAATCTTGGTTTGCCCTGAGCAGAATTCCCAGAGAAGCATCTCAGGAACATCAGGATTAATATTTAAAGGACTGGGTTTTCCAGCAGGGATCATTTCTGGTTGCTTTCCACAGCAGGACACTTGTCAGACCATGAGCGATGGTTGTTATCCCAGCATACCCCGATTGCAGAGGTGGGAAAAACCAGGAGCTGTTTGGCTGTTTCCTTTTTAAAAAAATTTATATTTTTTTTCATCTTTGGGAGTGAAAGAGAGGAAAAAAGCCCCACACAGCCCTCTTGGAAAAGACATTAAATGTGAAAGAGAGATGAGACGAGGACAGAAATTATTGCAATATTCCAAGAGCAGGAAAAAGAACGGGATATTTTTTGCAGTTGGGATATTGCATGTAAAACAGAGTTCTGATGTCATCAAATACAGAGAGGACTTGTAGTTCTTGCTAAAAATACTTATCTAGAATATAAATATACATTAGAGTGTAGCTGTGAGGCTTCTGGAGAGCTCTGCCACAGCCTTGTATTTACAGAGAGGGATTTAAATGTTTAATTCTGCACCCTCAAAGGAAAGTCACTCCATCTGAAGGAGTTATTAATTATGGAATGAGCCTGGCAGCGCTGAAGTACAGCAGCAGTGATATCATTTTCAATATCACTCCCAAATTATTTCTCATCTCAAACCTATCATGTGCACTTTTTTCCGCTCTTAAAATAGAGCTATTTTTCCATATTAGGCTTTGGAGGGTTTGGAGCATCTGCCTCTGACACAGCAGCACATCCTCTCTTGGATATCTTCATTTTTCTGCTGCTTGACATCCCTAATTCCAGAGGAACACAGAAGCCTCTTTTCCTCTTTATTCCGTACAGCTCCAGGCCTGAAAACAAAGCCTAGAAATGAGGTGAAAAGAACCTTTCAGTGTCAGCAGCAGATGTGTTGAGGGGGAAGGAAGCTGAGCACAGCGTCGTGGTTGGGATCTTAATTTAGAAAAGTCATTTTGGGTCACTTGGGAGTGAAAGAGACTCTCAGAGTGTTGTAAAAGGCTGGGGCAGATGGTCTGGATGGGCTCCACCTCCAGCACAGACCTGGGCTGCACTCTGCAAATTCCCATCAGGTTGGAAAACACCTAGGATGTGTTTTAATCCTTCTGTGCCCTGGTCTGGGTCCTGATCATCCCTCAGCCCCCATTGGACATATGGAAATTGTCACACCCTGGTGGCTCCAGGCTTGGTCCAGCCACACAACTTTAGGACTGAGCTTTAAGTTTTTGAATGTCCTCAGTGAATGTGGGTGAGGATGTTGTGCCTTGGGGGGAAACAATTTTGCACCAGCTCATGGTTGGGAAAGTTGCTGAAATCCATGAGATCCAACATGTTACAGGGAAAGCCAAACATGAAATACATGGAACAGAGTCCCCAAAACCTACTCCAGAATCTGAACAAAAATCCTACAGGCTGCCTTTACCCAGCAGGTCTCTTAATGGAATCATGGAATGGTTTGGGTTGGATGGGTCTGTAAAAATCATCAAATTCCAACCCCTTGCCTTGGGACACCTTCCACTACCCCAGGTTGCTCCAAGCCCTGTCCAGCCTTGCCTGGAACACTCCCAGGAACGGAGCAGCCACAGCTTCTCTGGGCAACCTGTGCCAGGGCCTCACGACCTTCACAGCCAAGAATTTCCTCCCAATATCCCATCTATCCCTGCCCTCTGTCAGTGGGAAGCCATTCCCCCTTGTCCTGGCACTCCAGGCCTGTGTAATACAAGAGGTGAATATCTTTTCCATGCCTTCTTCAGGTCTTTCCTGGGCATTCCAAGGACAATTTGATGTGTCCCCAGTCACAGCAGCAGTGACACCCCCGAACTGAGGCACAGTTCAAATCTTGTTTTAATGCACAAAATAAAATCTTGTTTTATTTCCCTGGACTCATCATCCAGGAGCAGTAGAGTT